GTTGTCATAGCAACCAACTTTCTTCATAAATATGTCTCTGACTACATTAATAACAGAAAGGAAATATCTCAAAAACTTGACAATTTTGGTCACTTTCAAAACGTTGATATGTTCTCAATTTGTTGCAATATAGAGGTCATCATTAATTGATATGAAGACTTCTGTTCAGTATATAATTCCTCTTAATAAAACAATTTTTTCTAATGGTAGCTAAACGCAGTTTAGTATAAAATCCAGGGGGGGGGTCCCAAAGAGAAGCATGCTGGGTAAGGATTTTCCTGCTATTTATAGGAGTTTAGATGAAAACTGCATCTTTTTTGTTTTTATTCGCATAAAGTAGAGTCTTCTCTTAATATTTAAAGAAAAAAATGTGCATTCATTTTTAGAAAAAAAAATTGTGAGACTTTTTAATAGGGGGAGATAACTCCCCAAACATCTTGTTTTCACATGTGCAGAATTGCATGAGTCAATTAACAGGTAATGTAGCTCTTTCAAGAGGTGGAAAATGTACCCTAAAAGCACACTAAAAGAAAACCTTAGGACTTGTTCTGTGAAATGCATACAACTTATTTTGTCAGATTTTTTCTGTTTTTGTTGAGCGGGGGGGGGGGGGGGGGTGGGGGTGGGGGTGGGTAAAAATGCTGAAAATGGATACATAAACAACCCAATATCCCCCATATTTCAGGTGTCAAATACTCCCTAGTAGTAATTGATGAATGTATTATAGTTGGATATTTATTAAATTCACAATTTTATCTTTCCATTGATATGCAGAAGAATGTGTAACAAGCCTCCATTTTATTTCTTTACAGGGGCCAGTTTTGCTTGTCCCTCACCAAGTAACGTCCTGATAACGTCATACATAAAACTGTGTTTTGCACCCAATATCGTCCATGAAATATGACTTTTGAACGTCATTTAGGATTTTTAAGTACTAGTCTTGTTAATATCTTAATATGGATATTAAAAGATGCACAGGTCTAATTACTTCTTTACAATAGAGTTTTAGGGGATATTGGAAGGCAATTGTGTGTGTTTGTATAAGGACTAATTCTGTGTTAATTCTGTGCAAAACGGAGGTGACGTAATTTGCATCGGGATCGATGTCCAATGCTGCCTTAAGCTTGATCAATATGATTGCAAGGGGATGCTCAGCCTTAATTCTATCGTCCCTGTTATTCTTTTGATTGACATAATACACGTATTGTTGTGTGGACATTACTAAACCTTTTTCATTTTGATAATCCGAAAAAAATATATATTAAAATCAAGCACGTAAGACTGGGAATAGGTGATGTTTTTAAACTATTTTATTTCTGATTTTCTACATGTTATCATTTAAAAAATATTTTACTGAACTACTAAAAAAATAACGTCTCTAATACAACCACTAATAGATCGGCCGCTCCTGCGGCCGAAAATAATGCTATAAAATGGACCCTTCGAAATCAAATTGCTTTAAATATATAGTGATTTTTTTTTTCATTATTTTTTTGAGTAAACATTTAACTATAACATTTTTTCATGTGATCAAGACAAACTCCTTCCTATTCAGACCTTATCATTAGATGTACGTCGTGGGATTAAATTAACTGCGGGACGTTGAGACTGTTCGGATGAGATCATATAAATCGGTGTCCCCTGTTGTTTGGCACGAAAAAGATCCCTCACTGTTCAATGGCTCCGAGTATTGAGTACAGGTATAAATAAGCAGGTGCTGATCCAGAAATTTCTTCCGGGGAGGGGGGTCCACCCCAATAAGGAAAAATTGTCAAGCCAGAAATATTCTGACAAACAAATTAAACAACAACTAAACGCATTTCCCAAACATGAAAAACCTATTTCTTGTGTGTGTGTGTGGGGGGGGGGGGGGGTACCGCGTGGCACATTGGTTATATAGCGTCTGCTCTAGAGTCATGAAGTAAAGAGATCCTTACATCGCGGTTTCAAATCCCACTGTGGGACGTGGAAACTGGTCTTCGTATAAAACGAGTTCCCGTGTGCTGGCACGAAAGGGAACCCTCCAAGCTCAATGACCCTGAGTGTCCAGTGTAAGACAAAATTTGTAGCTCTCCAACAAGTGGTGGCGTCTCCATATAAGTGAAAATTCTCGAATTGTACGTTAAACAACATTCAATCAACAATGACTTATAACACATTCAATGATTGACTTTTCATAGTCATTTCACATAGAGGCCGGTTTATCTGTTTTCGAAGAGGGTTCCACGTTTTCCAAAGGTGGGGGTGCCGGGGGGGGGGGGTGGATGTGGAGGTGTTCAAAGTCTCTTTTATTTGGTTTAGTATATGAATTTGCTAACTCTGCATATTTCGGTGGGGGGGGGAGGGGGCGGACCAAACTACCCCTATCCCTTTTAGATCTGCAAATGAGCAAGTTGGTTTCCATTAGTGAAGGATTCTCGAGGGGGTCAATAAACAATAATTAATCCCCCCCTTACGAGTTGAAACAACTTAGCTTCAGCATATGAAATTAATAGCTATC